GAGGAAGACGTCGGATACGCTTCCTGTGTGAGTAACACAGTGCCACACACGGTCGCCCAGACCATAACTGAAGAGGAAGACGTCGGATACGCTTCCTGTGTGGGTAACACAGTGCCACACGCGGTCGCCCAGACCTTAACTGAAGAGGAAGGCGTGGAACACGCTTCCTGTGTGGGTACAACAGTACCACACGAGGCCACGAGTGCCTCGGATGTCGTAGCGACGACATCCCTAGACGTGGGCAGCAAAGCTCCCCGTCACAGAAGCCGTCGGCAAAGACGCCGCCGCCGCCTCAAGTCGGATCCGAACTTCGTTCCGATCGACGTCGCTTCAAGCGACTCGGAGTCCAGGGCCCGGGCTCCTCCGACAAGGCCGGTGGAAGAGTGTTATCACATCTTCGATAGCGAGACGGGTTTACCCGTCAAGGCATCTGGTGTCCACTTGGAACCGTTGCCAGAGGTTGCAGAGATACTGAACCTCGAGGAAATGACGGCTGAGTCTTTCCTGGCCAACCTCAAGGCTGGAGAGATCGCTGAGATGGTACTCATGAGACCTGAGACCACTCAGGAGGAGCTGAACTCCTCCTCTGTCTTGGACGAGAACGTCCTGGAAGACATGAACAAGCAGCGTCAGGCGCGCTTGGGTTCTGAGATTCTCAAGAACCCCAAGGATCCGGTGTATCCTTTGGTGACGGAGTATGCGGACGTGGTGAATAAACACCCACCGACCCAACTCCCACCGGATCGAGGCGTACGGCACGAGATTGATCTCGTGCCCGGCACAAAGTATTGTGTCACGAGGCAATGGCCTCTCCCGCGCGAACAGTGCGAGGTCATTGATGCCTTCTTCGCCGCGAAAGCGAAGGCAGGCATGGTGCGGGAGTCGAAATCCCCGCACTCGACGCCGACTTTCTGCGTTCGTAAGCCGAACGGAAAGTGGCGTCTGGTTCACGCTTATAACAAGCTGAACAACGCAACGGTGCCGGCCCAAACACCGATCCCACGAAAGGATGTGTTGTTGAACAACATGGCCGGGAGCGTACTGTACAGTGCGCTGGATTTGGTAGACGGATACTACCAAATCCTGATGCGAGAGAGTGACATCCCGCTCACCGCGGTAAGCACTCCAAGCGGCATGCTTTGGGAGTGGCTCGTCATGCCGCAGGGCTTGTCTAACGCCCCGGCGACGTTCAATCGCCTGGTGACGCAATTGTTCCGCCCTTTGCGTACCTTCGTACAGACGTACTTCGACGACATTTTCGTCCATAGCCGTGCCGAGGGAGGCAAGACGGCCATGGATGTGACGGGGTCACACAGCACCTTGCACAGAGGAAGTGCTTAAGGGTATTAACTACCCGA